ATTTCAGAGCATCTTTATTGCCCCATTTCAATACTTGAAGTATAAAAATGTATCTAGAAAGTGTAACTTCTGACCAAAAGCTCAAACCCTGCCCTTGTCCTTCCCTCCCTCAACCCCTCTGACATCCCCCGAACGAAAACAACGTACACCTGGAGCTCACCTACTGTGCATGGAAAGAAATATTTACATCCGTCACAGATCATGTCATACACAACATTTAGTTGAAACAGAACCTATTATTTTACGCAAAATAAAACACAAGTGAGCGGCATCCTATTTTCTGTGCCGTGATGCCACCATCAGCTTTGCAGAATTATCATTGTCATTACTCTCCTCAACTCAAAACTGCTGTTCCCCTCTGGAGCTGAGCGGGGTGGCACGCGGTCCCCCAGCGGGATGGTGACATCTCTGCCCATCGGCCAACGCGGGGCCCTACAGTGCTGCTGCAGCCCCGAGCTGCCCCCTGCAGGAGCCTACAGCCGTGGGTGGCACTGAGGTGGCCCGGCGGTGGCCAGGGCCTGAGCGCTGCCAGCTGGGTGCAGCCGTCCCTGCCATCCCTGCCACCCCGTTCTGCCCCCAGCTGTCCCCCAGGAGCGCAGCCCATGGGCGCACACCGAGCTGGCAGCAGCCGCCCACCCCACGGGTCTCCGGGTCTCACAAACGCCGGCGCCTCGAAGCATTAACCAACCAAAATGCTTTGGACGCGCGGGTCTGACCCCCTAAGGAACCTTTCTAGAAAAAAGAAAAAAAATACAAAAGACAAATAAATTAAAGGAAAACGTGCTAAATAATGCCTTTCTGCTCTCTATGTGACAAAAGCACTACCTTGGAACACTCATTTTGGCATGTACAGGGCCGGGGGAGGGAGGCCGGGGGATAACCTGGCAGTGTTTGGGACACGCGTGGAAGTGCACGCCAAGACAAGCCTGAAGACACACCCTGCAGTCAAGAGAAGCACTCTCCTTCAGTTTATCTCGGCACCGAGAATGAAAAGATTGTAACATAAAGCTTTGGCCATTTTTGAATCTACTATATACAATTTGCTTTTTAAACTACATAGTCATAAATTAAAGCAGTGATTAAATAAGCGTATACAAAATGTAATTAAATTAAAAATCACAGCACATTATAGAGAAAAAATAGGAACCATTTATCACAGCAGATAATATTTTTTTTTACCCTGTGAAAAGAACGTCGACTAGCAAACACAAAGCATCCCAACCCAAACAAAAGAAATCAAAGCCGCTTTTCCCTTTCTCGCGTTCATTGCAACCAGCGATCTTTACCCACTTAGAAACGTTTCCAGGAATAGGATCTTCCTTGAGTACAACAGAGAAGTTCTGCCAAAAGAGAAGAAGAAGAAACCCAAACCCGACCACAGCAATAAAAAAGGAATGTACAAACAAAACAACCCCTACAAAATAAATAAGAATTATAAAGCTTCTTTTAAGTAACCTTAACAATTATCAAACTAGTAAGTTCTGCCTTATCACATAGACTCTCTATACAACGTAACCCTAACGATTTATTACTATGAGGTATTTGGAGGAATTGGTAAAAGCAATGCACGGCCTGTCTGGGCTGAGGGACTCACGCTGCTTGCGGGGAAAGGAGGAAGGAACCTTTGGTTTGTCAGCAAGAAAGTGGAAAAAAACATTTTCCTTTGGTATCAAAGAAAGTTTCATTGCATGGTTGCACGGCAAAAAGCACCACGGTGAAGAATTATTCCTTTTTTCATTAGTGGCCTTTCTAACAGGCTGAGGTATTCAAAGAGTATAAGGTGAGAGATAAAGAGGTCAACAGCGGTTTAACACTTTGGTTCAAGCAAGGCACTCGTCCTAGGAGTTTACAAAGTTTGCAACATGTTTGCCTAGAGCTTTATTATTATTATCCTTATCATCGTCAGCAGTAGAGTTGTAGTAAGAGAAGCATTCATCAGGTTACCGTCATCGCTACAAGGAGCAGACGCATCTACGCACTGGGAGGAGGGGGGGGAGGAGTTCCCTTCACAGACCGAGGCCGTGCATGAAAAATCTTTGGTATTCTTTGGTATCATCAATGTGATTAAAATCACCAATGGAAATCGAGTGAGGTAGCGTCTTTGGTTCACACTATAAATAGTAGATCTTTACACACTTTTTTTTTCTTTTTTTTTTCGTTTTTTTTTTGTTTTTTCTTTTTTTTTTCTTTTTTTTTTTCTTTTTTTTTTTTTTAACACGTGGAAGTAGCTATTCCTTACCTTTTGCTTCTTTGTCTTTAGCAAATAGTTACCAAATGTATTGTAAAGCTAACCACACCACAATAATAAACCAGAAGGCTAAGCAAAGTCTCAAAATTAGCCTCTGGACCTTTGAATGCACCCAAACGCAGCTGGATAGAAAAGGGTAAGTGCTTTCTCTTTGTTTGCTAAATGCATAGTTTTCATTCTTATGTACAAAGGAGGAGAGGAGGAAGAGTGGTGGAAGGAAGGGGCGAGAAGGCGGCTCAGGCATGGAGAAAGGCTCTGGGGCTCCTTTGGGCAGTGCCCAGCAGCAGCGCCCCGGGCTGCGCCCTCCAGCAGCACCCAGGGCTGTGCCCACTGCCAGCCCCGCACCCAAGGCAGCTGTCGGCACCGCCTGCAGAGCAGCAGCACGGCCCCGCCGGCTCGCTTGGCTTTACCTGAGTGAGGAGAGGAGGACAAGGCCCTGGGAAGCCTCCCGGGGCCGAGCCGAGCAGCGCTGCCAGCCGGGGCTGTGCCTGCTCCCCAGAGAGCCAACAGCGCCCTTAGGGTGGGATGGGTGCTTCACCTCTGAACCAGACTCCCTGGGGTCGGCACGGTTTTGGCAGCCCCCATGGGCCGAACGCATGCCCCCGACACCCTCGTGCCACAAAGCCCCATGGAGCCATGGCAGACTGGGTTCTGCTCCTCTCCTAAATGTTCCTGGCAGACTTTCAGGTCCTTTGGGTTTGGAATCTGAAACTAATTTCCAGTTTGTCGGGCGTGAAGCCCCGATCTCATCCAGGTGGACAGACGGACACTAACGTAATGGGAACGGGACGGGTGTGACACTCGGCGGCACCGGGAAGGGATGGCAGCCGACGAGCAGCGATGGGATGGGGCTGTGCCGTGTGCCCGGGGCACAGGGGAGCAGTCCCACAGGGATCCACTGCACGGGCTGAATGCAATTAAAGAAAAGTGGATTCTTGGTCTATTCCAAGTCCGAAGCGCGTATTGCTTATGGCAAGGGTGGTTTTGTTCTCCATGGCTTATAAAAAAACCAAAAGGTTTACAGATACCTCAACAGGCATGTAGGAAAAAAAAAAAAAAAAAGCCAACACTTAAAATCTATAACTTGTGCATCAGTTTTGGTGTGTGTGGATACGTGTGCATGTATACACACATACACACACAGGGAAATGTGTGTGTATATATGTATACATAGATCTACTCAGGGGCTCGTATGGGTGGGTGTGTATCAGACATCCTGAAATTGCATATTGGGTGCGAATTTAATGCTGGTATGAAAGTTCTCTTTGGTTTCAGCAAGTAGTCTCTAAAGACAATACAATGGAAATACTAAAAAATGCGGTGATGTACTTTGAATTTCCCTGCATTTTTAAATTCTCAAGTTTTAAATAAATAAGGCTTTCTTTTCTAAACTATAGGTACGTTACAAAGCAGTGTTCTGCTGGAAAAAACAAAAAAACAAAAAACAAAAAGCAAACCCTAAAACATTAGTTATCACTGTCCTTTTTTAACCTTACGCTAATGAAACTGTATTCATAAGATGCTTTATAGGTGAGCTTACTAGTATTTGTCAGTTAGACTTTGGTGGGAATGCAACACTTTAAAAGAGAGCTCTCTAAAATTTAAGGTAAGCTAGAAGTTCTAAAGCCTTGGAGATTATGTTTAAATAGGCATTTGCTTTGCCATTCTTAAACTGGGTTTAACATAGAAAAATGGGGAGAAATATCTGTTTTATTTGGTTTTACTTGAATTTCTTTTAATAAAGAGATAATTTGGTTTAATTCTAAATCTACTGGAAATTACCTGTGTACCCTGACACCTGACTAGACCCTGTCATCTTGGGAAATAAATGGTGCCACTGATATTTGAGTGGGCTTCATCACAAAAATCTGTATATGGCTGATGTTGCTAGAATTCTAGTTTACCTAGAATTTTAATTTCGAGAAGAGAAGAGAAGAGAAGAGAAGAGAAGAGAAGAGAAGAGAAGAGAAGAGAAGAGAAGAGAAGAGAAATAAAAAAAAGTGTAAGAATGCCTATTTCTTGGGCCTAACCTGCATATTTGGTTACTCTGGAATTTAATATGCCTAGTAGAACTATGACAGAAATTCAGGACACCAGTTAGAAATCTAACAAGCACATGTATTTAAAATTTGATTTTAAAGTCCAATTGGTTTTTGAAGTCCAATTTCCCCTTACGCTAAAATTCAATTTGCAGATGTTGCATGCTTTTCTTTTTACTTTTATCAGAGTAGGGATGGGACGGTTTATCTTCTAAGGTTCTATTAGCAACAGAGCAGTTAAACTTTCCAACTATGAATTTTAAATTACTTCATGCAGTATTTGGATTAACAGATGAGCAAGAAAGAATGCACGGAAGAAAGCTCAGCCTGATGCACGTGGACAGGAAGCCACGTGACAACAGGTTGTGCCTTTGTGTCATGGGAACACTGCTATCAACTTCAGAGGAGCCATGACTTGGCTTTCCAATGGCACGCCCAGAGCTCCTGCCAGAGCTGCTGCCATCAACACTACCCGATGTCCTACCAGCTTTCAATGGGAAAAGACCCCCAAGTCTTCACATATATCGCTATTCCTCTGCCTAGGTAACTCAGTAGGTTAAAAAAAAAGAAAGAAAAGAAAGAAAAGCTCCCTAACATCAATGAGCATTGACCAGGTGTTGGGCCCCAGCCCCATTGTGCCATTCTTTCTTGCCATTCATGAAAACAAACAAGAATGTGACATTACTAATGGCAAATAACAGTCTTGATTACAAGTTTTATGTGTTATACAGTTAGATTAGTTTATACCTATAACTCTACATAGTATTTTGTGTAAAAATAGCTTTGGAATATTAAAATCATTGCAATAAAATACCTGCAATATAATTATTAAATGTGTTCTTTGGTAGCTAGTCAACTTTTATGGATGGAATAGTTTCCCTTTTTTAAATCTGAACATTCCTTAACAAACAAAGAGAATGCACTGGTTTAGGTACCATTCAAAATTTCTCTGCCTAGTTTGAACTCGTGTCCGGGCATCGCGCCTGGGAAGCTCAAACACCAAAACAGTAAAAATCACACTACCATTCAAATGCATTCGGACGACTCCACGCCTTGCTGGCCATGCTGCGCATGACCCTCTCTGCAACCAGCTCTGACTCAGTCCCTACCACCGGTGTGTACGGACACACTGCACACCTTCATGGCGATCGCTGTGGAAATGAAGAGCCATATCTGACAAGATGTCCATTCAATGACAAGAAATCACTATGCTCCAAACCACTACACAGCCAAGGACAGTGAAGATGATCATGGACGAAGGTGTGAGGCCAGTGGTCTGCTTTTCTTCTCTTCATGTTCCACTTCGTTCGTTCCATTTCACTCTCTTCTTTCCTTTATTTTTTGCAAGTTGTCATCCTACTAAAGCGTGTGTCTTAGAACAAAGTCATAATGCAGGTGAAATAAGTCTTTGGTTTCTTTGGACTTATAAATAACATTTTTTTCAAATAGTTCTAAGTATAAACCTGCTATCTTGAGGTCCCGGTCTGTCTTTAGTTATTTATTTATTTATTTTTAAAGCTTTTCCACCGAGGTTTAGTTTGTGGTAATTCCTTCATGCTTTGGTACAAGTGCTTGATGAAGATGAGTTGCCTGAATTGGAGCTGCCCTCGTCTTGCCACTTATCCAGACTCCTCCTCCGTGCATTCATGAAAAAGTTGCTGACGGTGCTCAGCTCCAACCCGAGCTGCTGGGAAATGGTGATTTGTAATTCTTTGGATGGACGCTTATTTTCCTTGAATATTGCATGTAGAGTTCGACGCTGGACATCCGTGAAGACCAACCGAGGCTTTTTGGGGGTATTCCCTCTGTCCTTCCCGTGCTCTTGTTCTTTCCTCTTGCACGCTGCAAGAAAGCGGAGCACTGGTTAGAGGTCTGGCAGAGTGGTAAATGACAGCCAGTACAAAAGCAGCATTCACTTTGGCTTCTACATTCGGCGAGGATGTGTGGCATGGGATAAGACATGCACTTACATGCAGGTTTTGTGGGTCTACCGACAGGCACTCACACAAGTCAGTGTAAAGACAAGTTTAAGGGTTTGTTTTTTAACACACTATAAGCTACGAAAAATTAAGGGAAATAAGTTAGAAAATGCCTTTGCCATTGTCTGCTAAAACTCAGTGAAGCTGTCCCTGAGAGGTTAAATTTTGACATGGTTGAACTATGCAACATCCCTCAAATGTCGAGTGGAAATTCACAGAGCTCTTAAGTCAATCTTTCCTACATTTTTAATCTTCACTATTTGTTGTGAATCCATTTCTGTTTTGTTGTCGCTGATGGTTTTCCTCTTTTTTTTTTTTTTTTTTTTGCTGAGAAATAAGGAACTGGGAGAAATCAGGACCCTGATACCATCTCACAGCCCAGAACAATTCTGAATAAAAGAACCCATATTTTCACACAGAACAATGGCACACCAACTCTTCCTTATGCAATTACTTTCTTCTGTCCTCTCTCTCCCCTCTGCTCCCTTTCAGAGAGCCGTTAAACCACACACCACTGACAGGCTGTGGCAGCCCCAAATCTGCCTTGCAGATCACCTGCTCGGCAGAAACCAGGGAGCTGGGAGCACAGCTCCAAGTCCCCCGCAGCCTTTGACCGCCTGCCAGCTCATATTGTTAGCATTTAGCCAGGATAAAAGGGTTCCCTGGGAGGACAGATTGGTCTGTCTCACTTTCAAAAGAGTCTGAAGTTGTCTGTTTCCTCTTCTTTTTTCCACTCTAACAGTGTCCTTTAATGCTGACTTAGAGAGGTATTTCTGAAAAGAATATGGATGTTCTGCCTTTGTGTGCCTAGCCCTTATTTCTGTGGAGATCAGTGCTGATCATATTAATAACTCAGTGCAGTTCCACCACCTATCCCATGGATATAGAATGAAGACAACAAATTCTTTTACAAAGATCCTTCCTCCACCTTTTATTGTTACCCAGGGCCAGCACTATCACAAGGGTGTAACTGCTTGAGGGATACAGAAGGATGGTCACCCTCTGTCCGTCCCTCCAGTTGCCCTCCAGCCCCATCCATGCAGATGCTTTTGCAGAGGCTAATGGTGTGGGTCTCAGCCATGCACCCCTCCGTATGATCATAAGGACTGATGTGCCAGACTCACATCTTCTATGGCTATTTTTATCTGAAAACCTTTGAAGAGTGCTTTGAAGTTACATCTTAACCTCTAAAATGTGGTATCACTTCTGGGCTGAAAAACAGGTTTGATACAAAAGGTTTCTCACGGAGTTAAGCCAGGGAACCCACTGCAGGGATCAGTGAAATAATTACACTGAATTCAGAAATAATTCTGGGTCCTGACTGGAAGTAAACATTGAAAACTCATGGGTTAAAAATAGTATTGCAGGAATAGTCCGTTAGTTACCCACTGGCATTCAAAATGAGAAAATGAGGAGTGCAGGAGAGCAAGACAGAATCTCAACTCTTCATACCCCTCAACATTTGAGGTCAGAAGCTCCTGAGGGAGAAGCTATGAGGCTCAGCTCTAACAGCTCCAGCTGCCCACTGCCTGTCCCACTAAAGAGACAAGCTGAGCCCACGCCACATTAGCTGCCCCCAGCAGCTCATTTCTACTCACACTGCTTTACACTTTTCCAAAGACAAAGCAAATCCCAGCTTTCACCCGGACAGACTGTGCAGAGAGACTATCATTTGCCACACAGCCCCAGTTACACCAGCAGTGTGACCCACATCAGCAGGAGCCACAGAGTTGGCTCACCTGGCTGCGCAGACCTCGGGGCTTCCATCAGCACTGAGTACGAGAGTTCTCTGAAATCACAGAGAACAAAACAGCCACATATTGTGAAACTAACTCGCGTATCATGTCTACCTGAGCTTCTGCTTCTGAGATTTAACATTCCTGGATAATTATTTCCCCAGAAAATGTCTCAGCAGTTACCCGATACCTTGTTCTCAAAGTTCAGCTGTATGATTACTGCTAGCAACATCCCAGGGGTGAGAAAAAAGTGCCCACTGCTGAGCAGAATAGAACATAGACAGAATAGAAATTCTGTCAGTTCCGTGATACAAATAAGCTGAGTTCAGTAATTCACAGATTTCTGTAGATTCCTACTTCTCTCCAGTTTGCTCAGCATCTCACTTTGCAGGGGACTGGTGATACCACGCACACTGGGACTGACTTCCTATGAGCTGTTTGCTGGCTAGTGAAGGGAAGAGACCAAAACAACAGCGGGGATGAGGTTCTTTCACAAACTGTCACCAGGTTGCTGGTTCCAAGGCCCGGCCCGTGGTAAAGCTCGCAGAGCTCCCAGCAGGGCTGCCAGGCCTCTGCCTGAGCGGGGAGGGCGGCTCCCGCCTCCATCTTCTGCCTTGTCTGGGCCCGGGAATATTAATAGCACTTAAAAATAAATAATGGTGATAATGAAAAACCGTAATAGGGTTTCCTGACGATCGTTTTTCCTGCATTGGAGCCAATCAATTTTAATAATAAATCATAGCTTCCAGCTTGCCAGGGAACAAACGCGCACAGTGAGGTGAAGCCCGCTGCGAGGAGCGCTGCCCAGGCCATGCCCACACAGCAGCAGTGCCCGCTGCGGCCAGAGCTCCTGTGACACGGGCAGCTGCTGGAGGCACAGGCCTCACCAACACCAGCTGGCACCTCTTTTGGTAAAACACCGGAGCCCATCTTAGAACTGCTTACCACACACTGATATGCGGATGTAAGCACGGCACAGCATGCAGCACAGCCAGCCCTGCCCTCCGCCTGAACAGCAAGGCACCTCGCGATGCCTTTGGAAAAGAGCCTAAAGAAAGCCTAGTTTAAAAAAGACAACACAGCAGAGTCTTTTTGAGTCTGGCAACACAGGTGCAGATTATGACAATGTAATATTATCAATGCTAGAAGGAGCCCTATAAATCCAGTGCTGAACTCTGGCCTCTCCCCATCACTTCTATCTTCCTGTGCCCTGAGCAGCAGATATTTCTGACACTTGCAATTCTCCCGATGCAGCCCATCAATCCAGTTTTGTCTCCCTTTGTTCCTCACCAGCCGCCCGAGGGATGTGGCTGCGCTCACTTGCTGGCACTGGGGAGCTCTGCACAGCTCTTCACTGCTCTGAGCACACTGTCCTGCAGCCCCACCACTGCCGTGGCCGGGAGGCTGAGCCGGGTGCTACACACAGGAGGAGGCCATAGGAACCCTCAGTGGCACAGTTGCTTTCAAGCACCTGGGGGAGACAGAGCTGAGGCACACACACATCTGCAGGTGCAGCGGGTAACGGCAAGGGAGCACACAGCACCCTGAGGGCTCCCTGCTTCAGGACTCCCTTTCAGGATGGAAAGATAGACATGAACACTGAGACACCAGATGCTGCTGGTGAGGGGGAACAGCCACTGGGACAAAGCACAGCAAAACGTCACTGTCCATAAGCACAGCATTTTTCCTTCAGACAGGCGGGAGAAAAAACTAACAGCTTTATGCCTCTCTCAGAGGCTCCAGTGCAGGGTTCCCTGGCAGCAGTGTGGAGTTCATGCTGCACCAGGAACCAGACAAAGTGCTGCAGACCAGGATGCTGCAGGAAACACAAGCAGGCATGCAGGAGATTGACTCAAGAGTTCTCACAAGTTTTGTGAGGGTCCCTTTTCCCCCTCCTCTAGCAAAATGAAATTTTTTTGCTATTCCGACTCCATCTGTACAGGACATGTCTCACAGACATCAAAACCCTGTAAGAGTTCCCTTCTTTAATGCATTTTCAGATCTTTGCCACGTTCCATCTGTAGAATCTGGCACCTGCCTCGGCCATCCAAATGGGGCCCACCAACACCCTGGGACTCTTCTTCTAAATCACCTGCTTTCCATTTGAAACGTTGCAACACATCCAACAGCAACTTCAGAGCCTTCAGCAGTACAGTCCAGAAAGTATCTGGGGGGGGGGAAATTCCTCCAGAGGGGGCTGCCTTTGGCAGGGCCAGCGGGGTTTCCATCAGAGGCTGAGCCTGGTTCAGACATCAGAGATGGTCCCAGTCACATGGCTACAGGACATGCTGAGAGTGAGTAGCCAAAAGTATATGGTAAATTCAGAGTGATGATAACATACAATTAAGGGTGGTAAGCTCCATCCTTATCATGGGAATAACACCTCTGGAGCTGGCAGAGAGATCTTTCCTAATTGCTAAAACCTCCTATTTGGAGAGAATATGAGAACAAGATGAGGGGCCTACAGCTGACATGCCACCTTGCCAGAGACCTCACCACATGAGCTAAAAGCAGGCTCTCTTCTCTGGATCCTCCTGGTACCATTCAGCACTTTGTCTCTCTGGCAATCTGTATTTACATCACTTGCTCTGGATCTTATTTCTCTGCATCACGCCCCTTTTGCTGTTCCACAACATGAGAAGAGTTAAGGATGTATCTGCATGGGAAGCTCACAGCCCGACATCACCCTGCCCATGCACGGATCCCAGCTGAGACTGCCAGTGCCAAACACCTCACTGCTGGCACTGTATTAAAATGTGACCTTAATTTGCTGTCACCGGAATAACAAAGCGAGGCAGGCTCAGGCGTGCTGACTCTGCAGCGGGGATTCCAGGCTCCACGTGCCCGCAGTGCTGACAGACCCGTGAGCACCTGCATGAGCTGCCACAGCCACCCAGGGCCTGCCGCTAAGTGGATCAATGGGGGAAGCACCCGATATTCCTGCTATATCATTTAAAGCAAACGCTGAATTTCTGGAGCCGGGTCTTTAGTTAACCATATTACTGTGACAAATATTTCTTAGTCTAGCATAAGTAATTAGAATTTAATCACTTTAACGGCATCTTAATTACCTCAAATGAATTGAAAGGACATTTAATAGCAAAGATTAAATTGCCTTAATGAATGATTTTTGCGACTCCATCAATATGTTAATCACGTTAGCCCTTCCTTTCCTACGAGCACTGGCGGCTGCCGGCCCCTGGGTGGCGACCTCGGCTCGCCGCTTCCGCGCCGGCTGCACCGCCCGGCAGCGCCCCGCAACGCCCGGCTGGGGCCGCCCCAGCAGCCCTTCGCCCCGCTGCCGTGCGGCCGCCCCAGCCCCGGTTCTGCCGCAGCCGCCGAGATGGGGTTTCCGGGCTGTGGAAGTGACGTGCTCCGCTCCCAGAGCTTCGCTGGGATTTTAAAGGCCCTCGAAGGCACGTACCGAGCGGGCAGCTCTCGGGCTTGTTTCCTGAGGCCCGACCCCACTTCTCCTCCGCTAGTTGGAAAGCCCTTCGTCAGTTCCGACGGTATTCAAACAGCGAGAGCTGCCCCACGTCCTTGAGACGGCGGTGCCACCACTGGGTCCCCACGCCGGGGCACTGCAGTGCGGCTACTGCCGTGCTGCGGCCGTGCCCCAAGCTCCGGGCGGACCCCCGCAGCCCTCGACCCGAGCGGTGCCGGTGTGAGAAGCTGCTCCCATGAATTCACAGCATCGCAGGGCCGACCTCCTCGGGAGCGGGACGGCCCGATTGAGCCTCGTTGCAGAAGAATTTCGCTAAGACCGGCCGCTTCTCCGCCGGGAGGTGGTCTACCCCGAGACATCGATGTTTGCGGCGAAATCGCCGCTCTGGATCTGCTCACGCGGAGGTGCGGCAGCTACGGAGAGCCGGCGGGAGCCCGGAGCTCACTGGGCAGAGCCGCCCCCGGTACCGCGCTGCCCCGAGGCGGGCCAGGAGCACGCGGCTCCCGCGCTCAAAACGACCCCGTCCGTGCGTGGGGCCCGCGGGGTCCCGCTGCCAGCCGCAGCCGAAGCCGAGTGCGGTCAGTCCCTACGACGCGCGCACAGCCGCACCGCCCGACGGCTCCGCAGCGCTCCCACAAACCCCGGGCCGAGCCCCCGGGCGGCCCCGCGCCGCCGGTAACTGTCCGCAGTGCTGAAGCAGCCGCGAGCCGGGCCGCTCCGGAGGCCGCACGGCGCCGCACGCCGTCATCCGTCCGCCCGCCCCGTCGGGGTGTCCCGGCCCGAGGAACCGCCGCCCGGCGCGGGGGCCGTCAGTAGAGGGCGCAGAGCCGCCGGGAACGGCGGGAGGCACTGGGCCGGGGCAGTTCGACGGCAGCCCCCGGGCGGCGCGGGCAAAAGGGACGGAGCGGTTCCGAGGCCGCTTCATCAAAATCGCAGCGGGTCGGAACGAACGAACGGACGAAAGGCGGGAGCCACCGGGCCGACAGTAACGAAGGGCGAACGCGGTGCGTGCGAGTGGCTAGAAGTCGGTCCCGTCGCAGTGACGCGGCTGGAGAACGCGGGGCGCACGGCGGCACCGAGCTCCGGAGCGGGGCGGGCGGCCCTCGTCAGATTCCATATAAATGCGGAGAACGCTCTGATTACAATATCGATTTCTTTACAGTTAATTTGGTGATAAACCCTCACAGACTGCCCAGCGCTCGGCTTGGCCGAGATTTCGTTTGGGAGGGAAAAAGGAGACGGGAAGGAGAGAAAAGATGCGTAGATACAGACAGCAACAGCCGGGTCACCGGAACGCAGCGGGGGGGGGAGGAGGAGAACGGAGGGTACCGCCGACGCGCTCAGCACCCCCGGAGCAGAGGCCGCCCCCGAGCCCCCGCCCGACGGCCCGCACCGCTGGGAAATACCGCGGAGGAGAACCGCTCGGAAGTGCCGACGGGCCGCGGCGGGGCCCGGCGCTTCCTTCGAACGGCGTTTCTTCTTGGAGCCCCTCCGCTGCCCTCCAGGTGTCAGCGGCGGCGGTGTGGGGCCGAAGGAAGAGTGAGCGAGAAACGGCCGAACGGAGACGTACTGAGCGATACGGGGAGAAGCGGGAGGGGGGGGCAGACAAAGAGAGAACGGAGAGGAGAGGGGAGATGGGGTGAATAAGATGGAGGCTGAAAGAGGTCAGCGCTGCTCACGCTGCGAGATGCAGCCCGGGGAAGCGCCGGGGCCTCAGAGCCGCTTCCAGGCAGCCCCAAAGCCCTCTGACTGCCGGACGCTGAGGCGGAGCCCCAGGGAGGGCTCCCCCTGACCCCCCCCATCGCCTGCAGCCCGGGGACACCGGCGGGAAGGAGCCGGGCGTTCATCCGCCGCCAACTGTCTGTAAGCGCCCGGGAGTGAGCTATAATTGGGACGTGAAATTTAATTGCCGCCGACTGGAGTAATTTATGATATTCCGAATTGACGTTCATACATCATTATCAGTCCGGGCAGATTTTTACCGCTCGGTAAGATCATCACACATGTAAAACCTGTACGAGATGAGATCGATAGCTGACGCACTTGCAGAGTTGCCCGCCGCCCGCCTCCCTTGCGCCCGCCCGCATCCCTTCCTGCCAGCGGCGCTCAGCGCGCGGGACAAATCCTGCGGGCCGGGGGGAGCGCTGCGAGGACCGCCCCCATTGGCTGGGATACGCCGCTATGCAAATGAGCACGTGCGGCGGGCGGCCCAGGTGGGGCCGGGCGGGGCGGGCGCTGCGGGGCCGGGCGCTGCTCCCCGCGTCCCCTCGGCCCCGGGCCGCCGGAGCGGCTCGACCCCGGCAGGCCGCTTCTCCGCGGTGCCGGCCGTCCGGTAGCGTCGGAAAGGGGACGCAAAGAGCCTTTGTCCCTCTGCCGGGACCGCCCCGCTCTGCCGCCCGAGTGCAGGGGCGCTCCGGGAGCGAACAAAGGGCCGCGCGGCCCCGCGGGGAGCCGCTCCGCAGCGATCCGCGCACACGAGCGGGGCTCGGGGCGTATGACACCGCGCGGGGCGGGCGGTTCGGCCCCGAGGTCGCTGGGCGACGTCGGAAGCGGCCCCCGTCCGCCTCTCTGCAGCGCCCGCGGGACGGGGCTGCGCGGCTCCCGGGGAGCGCAGGAGGCGGAAAGGGCGCTGCCGAGCTCGGACCTTGGACGCCGAGCGGGGCCGAAGCCGAGGCGGCGCGGGAGGAACGGGGATCTGCGCCGCATCTCACCGGTGCCGCTCCGCCCCGAGGGCAGGGCCGGGCCGAGCGCACCCCGGGGGTTCCCGGCACCGCGCGTCGGTGCGTTTGCGAGCGGGGAGACGCGCGCTTTCCCTCGTTGTTGTCTGCGGAACGGATCGGTGACCCCGGCGGATCGACTGTCTCGCGTTCTCCAGGGACAAATTAATGGAGACCTATCACTTAATTAACAGCCCCTTGCTCACGGCATATTAAACCCGCGTCCCGCACACGCCGGGGGTGGGGAGGCGCGGGGAGGCCACGGGGCCGGAGACGCGTTCCGCTTCGTTCGCCGCACACGGCGCCCGGCCGGGCCCTGTCCGCGGCCCGGAGCTGAGCTCCCGCAGCGACGCGGGACGGCCGCGGGGCGCTCCTTTCATCCCCACACTAAAACCACGCTCCGCGCGACGATCACCACAGCAATCCGTTAAAAACCGAACGACTTCAGCCGACGGTGTTGTTCCTGCACGTCTGTGCGCGAGTCTCGTTCCGCAGCGCCCGCCGGGCACAGGCGGACATCGAATCCCAACCCGCTCCGAGCTCCGGCCTCGCTGCGCTCCCCGAGCCCGTGGGCGCGGCGTTGGGCAGCGCAGAGCCCGGGCTCCGTTCCGGCCGCGCAACGCCGCCGATTCCTCCGGTGCGGGAGGCCCAGCCACGGCGGGACAAAGCGGTGCGGGCAGCGGCACTGCCCGGAGCTCCGCTGCGGCCCTCCCGGAGGCGCTTCTCCGCACCTGCGGCCGCCGCGTGCGTCGGCGCCCGGCGTGAGCTCCGCAACCCGCGGGCACTGCGGGCACCGCGCGGGAACGCGGGGCCGAGCGCGGCCGGAACGGGGCCCGAGCCGTCCCCGCACGGCCGGGCACAGGCGCGGGGCCCGTCCCGTCCCGCCGCGGCTCCGCTCACCTGCCAGCCGCAGAGCAGACATCCGCTGGAACTCGGGCTCCTGGAGCCACTTCCACATCCTGCGGAAGGTCTCCCGGCCGGACTTGAGCTTGCTCCAGGGCTTGGGGTTCCTCAGCAGGTCCGAGAGGGTCCCCTGGGAGCGGCACAGCACCCGCTGGGCGAAGATGGCCTGGGGGATGCTGTACCGCTTGAGCTCGGTGGTGATCCTCTGAGCGACTTCTTTGGTATTGATTTCTTCCATTTGCCCTGAATTGCTCCCGCCGCCCGCCTGCGAGCCCGCCACCGCAGGGTTCTGCTCCCGGCCGGGGCCCAGCAGCTGCCCGTGGCCCTGCGCGCCCAGGTGGCCGTGCGGGGGGTGCGGGATGCCGCCCAGGGGCACCATGCCGGCGGGCGGGGCGCTCAGGTGCTGCTCGCCGTGCCGGCCCAGCATGGCGGGGTGCGGCGCCTCGAAGCCGGTGGGCGTCAGCATCTTGTCGGCGGGCATGGCGGCGCCGGGGTGCGCGTAGTGCGGCAGCGCCTGCTGCGAGCCGTGCACCGAGCCCAGCCCCGAGCCCGACAGCGGCGACAGGCTCTGCCCCATGCCGGCCACGTCCTTGTGGTACGGCGCGTAGAGGTTGTTCATGGGCGCCAGGCCCCGCTCGTCCCGCATGAGCGTGAAGCTGCCGCTGACGTTGCCCGGGAGGCGCTGGTGCGGGTGGTGGTGGTGGTGGTGGTGGTGGTGCGGGAACTTGTCCGACACCGTGGAGATGGGCGGCAGCGGCTGCAGCGGGGTCAGCGTGGTGTAGGTGCCGCTCATGCCCATGCCGGGGGGCGTCTCGCAGCCCATGCTCATGGCGGGGTGCAGCGGCCCCCCCAGCCCGTGCTCGGCGGCGCGGTGGTGGTGGTGGAAGTCGCCGCCGTCCAGCAGCGCCATGCTCGCGGGCCGCGCGGGGCCGCCCAGGTGCCCGCGGGGCGGCACGGCGGCGGCGCGGGGGTGCGCGGGGCCGCCCAGCAGCTCGGCGCCCGGCTCATGGCTCACCGCGTGCAGGTCGCCCATGCTCTCCATCGCCAGCTGCGCGTTCATCGCGGGCCGCGCACATCCGTGTGGTGCGGCGGGCGCGGGCCGGCTCCTCCCGCGGGACGCGGCGGCTCTGGAGGGGTCTCGGTGCCGTCGCCGCTCGGTTGGTGGCGCTTGGGTTTGATTTTTTTTTTTTTTTTTGGTGGTTAACTGAGTTTTTCTTATTTTTTGCGGGACGACGCCGGTTCGGTCCTAGGGCCCCCGCTCCCTCAGGCCAGGCTCCGCAGCCGCGGCGGCCGTCCGCCCGCGCCCCTCGCCATCTCTAGCCATGGCTCTCTCTGCGCTCCGCCGTTTGGCCGCCGCTCCGCTGCTGCAGCGCCGCGGCGCTCCGCGCGGCGCATGCGCGCCCCGCCCCGCCCCGCCCCGCGCCCGCCCGCGCCCCGCCTCCGAGCGCCCCGCCCCGTGACGTCACCACTCCTATTAAGGGGGCCAGCCCCGCGCGCGGCGCTCAGAGCCGCGGTACCGCGCGGCATCCCGGAGCCCCGCAGTGGCGGCCCGGGCGGGGTTCCCGCTTCCCCCCGGATCCCGCCCCGTGAGCCGTGCCCCCA